CAATACCAATCTGCCAGGCAAGATGTGCCCACTGATGAATGCCATAAAGGTTATAGAGTAACCTACTGCTTTCTGACTGGATTTGAGGCCTGCTCCACAGGAGGAAATTCATGCCTCATACTATAAACCTGATCAAAAGTCCATAGCTCAGGAGGTCACAGGCCCTGGCAGAGGGGAACTATCACTGTTGTTTCACTAAATGGACATGCTGTCAGACTGCCTTCTAAATGTTTATGTTTACACCCATAGAGATGCTCTCAGCCTTAGCCAGAGAAGACTCTCTACAGTATGCAACAATTAATGCAGAGACTCAGAACTGGTCAAACTGCTGAGAATAAGTGATTGTTTTGAAGTACAACCCTAAATGGGACATCCACATCAACTCCCCACCAAGGGTCAGAGAACACTGTGGAAGAGGAAGCTAAAAGAATGTAAGAGCCAAACAATGGGGAAATGTCTATAACATGATGAAATGTCTGTGAGTGGGAAGGGGGAAGGAGTGGATATGATCAAGATATGCTGCAAGATATGCTGTATACATGGAAAGAAACTCTCAAAGAATAGAAGATATTCTAAAAGAATCAAGACAGTGGAAAGTATGAGCAAATTAATCTGACAAGACATCTGAATAAAAAGGCTACAATTTTTGCAAATTTGATAAAGACTCTAAACCCACAGATTTAAGTTCAACTGATTTAAGCTCAATCCTATACATAAGAAACATTAAGGGGCTGGAGAGATGGCTGAGCAGTTAAGAGCACTGGTTGCTCTTGTAGAGGGCCTAGGTTCAATTCCCAGCACCCTCATGGTGGCTAACAACCATCCTAACAACCATCTGTAACTCCAGTTCTAGAGAATCTGACGCCTTCTTCTGACATCCATGGGCACTGCACGACACAGGTGCACTTAGACACACACAGGCAATACACTCATACACACAAAATAAATATTAAAAAATAAACATTAGAAATAGTAATAAAATTAAAACTGGACTGGGAGGGGAGACTGGGTACAGTTCAGTAGCAGAGGATGTGTATAGGCCTGAGTTCAATCCCCAGCACCAAAAAAGGAAAAGGAAAAAAAGCCACCAACACAGCATAACATGATCAATAATTACTTAAAAATTTTGTTAAGGGAGCCGGTTGTAGTAGTGCACGCCTTTAATCCCAGCACTTGGGAGGCAGAGGCAGGTGGATCCCTGTGAGTTTGAGGCCAGCCTGGTCTACATAATGAGTTTCAGGCCAGCTGGGGCTAGAGGGAGACCCCAACTCTAAAGGACAGAAAAAAAAATTCTAAGGGAGCCAGCAAGAAGACTCAGTGGATAAAGGCACTTGCTGTTAACCCTGATGACCTGAGTTCAATCCCTGGTACCCATGATAGAAGGTAAGAAGATATCACCTAAGTTGTCCTCTGATCTCTGCATGTTCATTGTGGCACTCTAGCACCCACACACAAACATATGCAAAATAAATGTTAAAAAAAAAAAAAACCTTTTGGGGCTGGAGAGATGGCTCAGCGGTTAAGAGCACTGACTGCTCTTCCAGAGGACCCGGGTTCGATTCCCAGCACCCACATGGCAGCTACGAACCGTCCTTAACTCCAGTTCCAGGGGAATTCGAAGCCCTCTTCTGACCTCCGTGGCACTGCATGACATGGGTGCACTCACATACATGCAGGCAATACACTCATACAAAAACCTTTTAACTGTGTTAAGAAGCTAGAGACATGGTTCAGTGAGTTCTGCAAGCATAAGGTTGAGAGTATGAATTCCCAACACCACAGAAACAAACTAGACATGGCTAGTCATGCCTGTAACCCCAGCATGGGAGAGCTTGCTGGCTAGTCAGCCTAGCCACAAGACAATAATTCAGAGAGCCTACAGGAAGATATTTGAGGTTGTCCTCTGGCCTCCACATATCTGTGCATAGGCACACACGCCTATACACTCACATGGTTGCACAACACACACATACACATACACACACACACACACACACACACACACACACAAACAACAAAAACACTGGTGGCACCAGCCTACATTCTCAGCTATTTGGGAGGCTAAAGCAGGAGGATGGCAAGTTTAAAGCTGCCTAGGTAATTTAGAGAGGTATCTAAAATCAGAAAAATAAACCAACCCCCAAAGGCTGGGGCTATACCTAAGTGACAGAGTCCTTGACTAGCACGTGTGAGTCCCTGTACAACAAAATCAAGAGAAAGGATGTTACATATTTGATTACATATTGAGAAGCACAGAGAAGAACTACAGTAGATTTCTCCAAGAAACAATGTTCCCCAAACTTATACCCAGCAAGCCATCTATTCCAAAAAACAAAAGCAATGACAGTTTCAGATATTCAGAAATTCTTCCTTACCAGCAAACCTGCACTCCGAGATATGTTAAAACCCTTCAAGTAGAAAGAAGGATATACCAGAAGGAAACCCAGATCTATACAAGAGTATATGTCTTTGACTCTAGCACTGAGGAGGTAAAGGCAGGCAGATCTCTGTGAGACTGAGGCGAGCCTAGTCTACACAGGAAGTTCTAAGTCAACCAGAGCTACACAGTGAGAACCTGTCTCCCCAAAAAATTTTTTTCCTTTTTTAGGGAAAAAATAAAAACCAAGAGTTGCAGAGTGAATGTTGAACAAAACATATTACAAAGCACAAAGTCAGTAAAGAAAAAACTGCAAGGATATTGTTATATAAACTTGTCTGGAAAGGGCAGAACACTTGTCCAGCATGCACAAGGCCCTGGATTACAGCCCCAGTACAGCAAAAATACTGAGAGTGTAGATATTTGTTCTATTTATGCAAAGCCTACGGGGTTCAGGATGGTGTTGGATCCCACAAAACCGGAGTTACAGATGGTGCAAGCTGCTGTGTGCATGCTGTAAACCAAACCAGGGTCCTCTCCAAGAACAAGCAGTGCTCTTAACTGCTGAGCCACCTCTTCAGTCTGATAGTACAGGTATTTGTGGGTTTATTTATTTATTTAATTTTATGTGTAGTAATGCATTGCCTACATGCATGTAAGTGCACCCATATTATGCAATGCCCATGGAGGTCAGAGAGGGTGTCAGATCCCCTGGAACTGGAGTTACCGCTGGCTGTTAGCCACCATGTGGGTGCTAGGAACCGAACGTGGGTCCTAGCAGCCAGTGCTCTTAACTACTAAGCCATATCTCAATCCCACATATTTGTAACCAATATACTAGTACTCAGAGTTAAACTGTGAGAAGTTAAACTTGCATACTATAAACCCAAAAGGAACTTTTATTTTAAAATTTAACTAAATTTATAGTAGTATAAAAAAAATCTATCATATACCAATACAAGAAAGAAATTGCAATGCAACTACAAGAGGAGTGGCACTATAGTTATTGTAGAACAGTGGTTTTTAGACTTTCAGATTTCACAAACAAATTAGAAATCAAGCACAGCCTGAGCTATATAGCAAGTTCAAGGCCAGTCTGGATTAAACAGAGAAAGTGACTTTTAAAAAAAAAAGGTGGGGGTGGTGAGCCAGGTATGACAGCAAAGGTGGAGCTCTTTGAGATCAAGGCCAGCTTGGTCTACATGAGGCCTGAGTTCAACCTCCAGCACCACATAAATCAAGCATGGTTGTATACACCCGTAACCTACCACTTGGGAGGTGGAGGCAGGAGTATGAGAAGTTCAAGGTCAACCTTGTATATAGCAAATTCAAGGCCAACCTGAAGTATGTGAGATCCTGTCCAAAAAAAAAAAAAAAAAAAAAAAAAAGCAAATACTGGGGCTGAGGATGTAGTTAAGTAGTCTGCGTAGTATGGAAAAGTCTTGTGTATGAACCCCAGGACTTTAAATAAATAAAAGCTGATTTTTTAAGCTGGGCCTAAGAATGCCTTTAAGTCCTGCTGCAACTAAAGCAAAGGGATCAAAGTCAAAGACACTATCTTAAAATTCAAAGTACTAAAATACACACACACACACACACGTAGCACTATAACAATTATTCTGCAAAAAAGTCAATCTGCTGACACTGAAATACAGAAATGGCTCAATGAGTAAAGGCTGTTGCCACACAAGTTAGAGAATCCAAGTCCCAAGTTCCATCAAGAAGACCGACTCAGCAAGGCTGTTCAGATGTCCACATGTATGCGTACCAGTAAATAAATCATACATATAATAATTTAAAAAGAAAACATAGCTCGAAGTTTACTTCCTGGTGACCCTGAAAAAATTACTCAACTTCTTTGAGCCTTAAGGGGCTGAAGATATATTCAAATAGCTCAGAAGTGTATCACACAAATAGTAAATGGGTTGACTAAGTATTAAGACCTGTTACTGTTATAAGAGCTTTGATAATGCTTCTCTTTTTTATCCAAACTTAATCCCTTTTTTTTCTTACACACACAAGGAGGTCTCTATTTTCCTAAGCAAACCTACCCTGCTCTGGTTAATTCATTTATTCCAGGATTTACTCATTTACAATTTTTTTTTTTTTTGTGTTTTTTTTTTTTTTTGGTCTTTTTGCGGGACAGGGTCTCCCTGTAGCCCCGGCTGTCCTGGAGCTCACTATGGAGACTGGGCTGACCTTGAATTTACAAAGTAATTTTTAAAAATTTTTTATTATTTTTATTTTATGTGTATGGGTGTATTGCCTGCGTGTAAGTGCACGGCGTCGTGCAATGCCCACGCAGGTCAGAAGAGGCTGTCGGATCCCCTGGGACTGGACTTATGGACAGTTGTTAGCTGCCATGTGGGGCTGGAATTTGAACCCGGATCTTCTTCAAGAACAACCAGTGTTCTTAACCGGTGACCCACCTCTCCAGTCCCAGTACCTTTATTTTTAGGCAAGTATTAGTACTAGTAAAACAAGCTACTTAAAATATGATACTACTGAGTTCCTGGCAGCAAAGTGTTCCCTCGTGCAGAGAAAAGTCTAGTAAAAACGGACCCCAAGTTTTCTCCAGTTCTCAAGAGACCCACAGATGCGGTATAGCAACTGGGCGAATTACCTCTACGTTGTCTGTGAGACCGTACTCAGAGTGAGGGTTTTCTGAAACCTAGAAAACAAAATACCACAGAGCTATCAGTCGGTTTCCCGCAGCCTCCCCGCATACCGCCACTCTGAATCCAGGGACTCCTGGTACCTGCGTCTGTCCCTCCAGCATCTGCTCGGACTCCATGGCGGGCCCTGCACACCACAATCAACCGGATACCGGTCTTGGAAAACAAGAAGAGCCACGAGTTAGTTACCCGGGAGATTTCAAGCTGGAAACGCCGGGATGCGGTTCAACCCAGCCAGGACCCCGCCCCTCACCCCGGGGAGCAGCCCAGGAGCGGCACGGGACGGTCGGCCACCGGCAAGCCGCCTCGCATCCCGACGCTCCGCGGTCCTCCCGAGGACCTAGAAGAAGAGGGAGAAGGAAGACGAGAAGTTGATTACCCGCGCCAACGCTGTAGGTTCCTAAGAGCCCAGCACCGCGCCACCAACTCCCAGGGCGAAACGCTCCGGCCGTAAGTGACGGACGTCGCGCTGCTGTCGCGCCTGCGCAGAGCTGCACCGCGGACCCAGGCGAGCCTCCCAGGGCCGACCTAGGGCTTGTATGCGTCTAGGCCAACATCCCGCCGAGGCATCCCACCCCGCTGCAGATCTTTACCAGCCAGGCCTCGGTGCTGCCTGGTAATGTCTGTCCCAGGGGAGCCGAAACCACTTCCTGCTGTGTGACTTACTGAAGCATTACAGGCCCAGGCTTTACTTTAAAGCCAAAGAGAGGGAAGAGGCAGTGTTTGGGAAGATTTTGGGACAGCTTTTATTTAAACTGCAGTCTGTGAAGATACCAAGTTCAGGCTATTTGTATCAAGATTAGCAATATGGGCTTTTCCCAGTAGGAGGTGCATCACTTGCTAGAATGACGGAGGCCCATGGTTCAATCCCCTCAAAAGAAATTAACTGATACACCACACCATGGTACTGTTGATACCATTCTGTTTAAAAAACAGTTTAAGGGCTGGAGAGATGGCTCAGCAGTTAAGAACACTAGCTGTTCTTGCAGACGACCCGGGTTCAAATGCCAGCACCCACATGGCAGCTAACAACTGTCCCAAAACTCCAGTTCCAGGGGATCTGACAGCCTCTTCTGTCCTCAGTGGGCATTGCACGACACAGGTGCACTTACCTACATGCAGGCATAACATTCATACACATAAAATAAGAATAATAAAATACTTGCTAAAAATAAAAATTTAAACTGTTTTTTAAATATTTTTTTTATTTTTATGTTCTGCAAGAACAGCCAATGTTCTTAACTGCTGAGCCATCTCTCCAGCCCCATAAATAAAATTTTTAAATAACATTTTTATTGTCTTTTTATTTTGTGTGTTTTGCTTGTATGTATGTGCACAAATGTGATGCAATGTCAGAGGAGGCCAGAAGAGGGCTTTCTATCCCCTGGAACTGGAGTTACAAACGGTTGTTATCTACCTTGTGGGGGCTGGGAACCTGAACCCAGGTCTTCTGCGAGAGCAGCCACTTCTCTTAACCACTGAGCCATCTCTCCAACCCTAAAATATTTTTAAAAAGTTGGGCATGGTGGCTCATGACAGCACTTGGACAGCTGAAATAAGAAGGATCTCTCAAGCTAGTCGTGGTGACACATGCCTTTAATCGCAGCATTTGGGAGGCAGAGGCCAGCCTTGTCTACATAGTGAGTTCCAGGATAGCTGGGGCTACAGGAAGACCCTGTCTCAAAAAAGATCACAGAAGGGGGCTGAAGAGATGGCTCAGTGGCCTGGTCATAAAAGTGCAGGTTCTCTGCTCTGTGGGAAAACGTCTTGGTCTACAACCCTTAGTTCATCTCCTTGTCCTGAACAAATAACTCAGCTAACCCTAGCTAAGAGATTAGGCCAGGTTAAAGGTTTACTCCTGAGCTAAAAACTAAAAGTTCACCACGTTTTTTAGCTCTAAGAAAGAAAACAATGTGACCAATAAATTACCAGATGGGCATTGATAACCTTGAGTAAATGTTTAAGAATCCTTCTGGCACCAACTAACAAACTAAATGTCCTGTTTCTTTGTACCCTATATCTTTGTATGTGATTGCCATATCCCACATGACTGCTAGTTCCTTGGTATGTATAAAAACCATGTGAATTTTAAAATAAATTGGCTTGTTGAAAAGACACAGGTCCCAGGGTCTAAGACTCTGTCTCCACCAATCAGGGCCTCTGCCCTGAAGCCAGTAGGTCCCCTGCTAAGCAAAACAAACCTGAGTCCCGACAGGATCACACAAAAAAGATTTACTTTCATTTTATGTGTATGAGTGTTTGCCTGCATGTATGTATGTGCATGACATGTGTGATTAGTGCACCAATGAGCCATCTCTTGAGCTCCTTAAAGTCCTTATTTTTAAAATTAAAGGCAACAGGGGTTGGAGAGATGGCTCAGCAGTTAAGAGCACTGGCTGCTCTTGCAGAAAACCTGGGTTTGTTTCCCAGCACCAACATGGTGGTAAACAACAAACCATAACTCCAGTTCCAGAGGATCATACTCCCTGATCTGCACATTGTGGACATTTCATGCATGTGGTACAGTTAAAAACATGCAGGTAAAATGCTTATACACATTAAATAAACATTAATGAAAATAAAGGCAATAGCTGGGTGTGGTGGCACACACCTTTAATCCCAGAACTCGGGAGCCAGAGGCAGGTGGATCTCTTGAGTTCAAGGCCAGCCTGGTCTACATAGGGAGTTCCAGGCCAGCTGGGGCTACAGAGAGACCCTGTCTCAAAAATACAAATAAATAAATAAATAAATAAATAAATAATAAACTAAAATTCATTGAATTGGACACTTTAAAACAGTGGGCTGTAGGCATAACTCAGTAGTGATAACGGACAGAACAGTAAAAGCTGATGTGTTTTTAAAACATTTTTTTATGCACATGAGTGTACTGCCTGCATGTAAGTGCACCTGTGTTGTGCAATGCTCACAGAGATCAGAAGAGGGAATTGGATCCCCTGAGGCTGGAGTTACAGACAGTTGTTAGCCGCCATGTGGGTGCTGGGAATTGAACCTGGGTCCTCTGCAAGAGCAACCAATGCTCTTAACCTCTGAGACATCTCTCCAGCCCAAAACCTGATTTTTTTTTCAAACTATGAGTCCATAAATGTTAGCAAGTGGTAGTCACTATTGTCAGTGTTCTCATTTCCTCCAATTTAAGTATGCTAATTTATTCTGTGGCCAAAGTAAGACTTTTTTTTTTTTATATATATACAGCCACTCTCTCTAGCTCAGGTTGGCCTGGAATGTACTACACAATCCAAGTTGGCTTTGAACCAGTCATGATGCTTATGCTTCAGCTTCCCTAGTATTGAGATTACAAATGTGCATCAGCATCCCCAGTTATATGTGGTGCTGTTGATCAAACCTAGAACCTCTGTATGCTAGGCAATTACTCTACCAACTGAAAAACATCTTCATCCCCCAAACTAAGGTTTTTATGAGTCGTAACAATGCTTGGGAAATGTTTTCTTAGATAACAAAGTAGATTTTTTTTTTCCTTTTGGCTTTTTGTCTTGAGACAGGGTCTCCCAACAAAGTACTTTTGAGCTCTTATTTGAATTGAAGGAAAAAGCAAATTCTATGCAAGCTCTTTGTGCTAAATTACTTGCAAAAATGGCCAAAAATATTCACAGTGATCCATTCTGTCCCTACATAAGATTTCTTTTGTAATGTGACTTTGCCACTTCTCTATCAGGATGTGGAGTTTAGAGGCTGGAGAGATGGCTCAGTCAGTCGTTAAGAGCATTTGCTGCTCTTCTAGAGGACCCAAGTTCAGTTCCCACACCCACACTGGGCAGCTCACAACTGCCTGTAACTCCAGCTAGTGTGTAGGGGGAACCAATGCCTCTGGTCTCCAGCAGGCACCTACACTTATATATGCATACACCTCCACATACACATAATCAAAAATAAATCCTTTTTTAAAAAGATGTACAGTTTGCGTCGGCCCCAGCTAGCTGGTTTAATAAAACTCTGCTTGATTTTTGCATCTCAAAAAAAAAAAAAAAAAGATGTGCAGTTTGCTTCCCTGTCTTACACTGAAGTTGGCTTCATGTCTTTGGCAATGGTATGTAGTAGAAATGTCAATGTACAACATTTGGAGTTTAGTATTCACATTCTCTTGAAAGCCAGATACCATGTAAAGGAATCTAAACTATTTTTTCTTATTTATTTATTTTATGTATTTATTTATTTATTATTTCTGTGTTGTGCATGTGTGTGGGTGCATGTGACTTGGTGCACACTTGGAAGTCAGAGGACAACTTTCAGGAATCAGTTCTCTCCTCACACCATGTGGATTTCAGGGGTCAAACTCACTGATGGCCAAATGCTCATCAGTCTTGGTGACAAGCATACCCACTGAGCCAGGAGTCTAAACTATCTTGCCAGAGACATATACCCCATCCAATAGTCGTAACCACCCTCTGGACATTTGAGGCTGCCTATCCAGTCATTCAATCACACCATCATATGACTGCATGGACATAATTTACCTAAATGAAGCAAGACCATTAGTAGAACCACCCAAATAAACCCACCCCAAGATGCTGACTCACAGAATTATGGGTAAATAAATGAGTATTAATTTAAGCCAGAACATTTTGGAGTTACTACCCATCCAAAAAAACAAACAAACAAAAAACCCAACCAAACAAATACAACAAATCCAATCATGAATGAACAGGTTTTCAAATTATTCATATTTATTAAACAAGTACCATATCCAAGGCACCAAGCTAAATGCAGAAAGTGAGACAAAAATGCAGAAAGTATGACCTGTCTTCAGTAAGTTAACAATGCATATTAGAAGGTTAAAAAGTGCTTAGATGGGGCAGGAGAGATGGCTCAGCCGTTAAGAACACTGGCTGTTCTTGCGGAAGATTCAGGTTCAAATCACAGCACCCACATGGCAGCTAACAATTGTCTGCAACTCAGGTCCCAGGGGATCCAACAGCCTCTTCTGACCTCCTCAGGCATTGCACAACACGGGTGCACTTACCTACATAGGCAATACAGGCATACACGTAAAATAAAAATAATAAATAAAATATTTTTTAAAAGTGCTTAGATTCAGCCGGGTGTGGTGGCACATGCCTTTTAATCCCAGCACTCGGGAGGCAAAGGCAGGGGAATCTCTGTGAGTTCAAGGCCAGCCTGGTCTACATAGTGAGTTCCAGGACAGCTGGGGCTACAGGGAGACCCCGTCTCAAAAAGACCAAAAAAAAAAAAAAAAAAAAGTGCTTAGAGATCTATCAAGCAGGATAACATAATGTAAGAGCCATAGTGCCTAACAACTACATTGTGTTAAGAATTTAAAAATAGAAACATTTTTTACTTGAGGAGCTAAGAGAAGGACTTAAGAAGACAATGTCAGAACAGAAAAATTTTGAAACACTTTGATAGTGAGGTAGGAGAGCACATTGTAAGTGAAAGAAAAATGACCTAGATAATTGTGGTCTAGGAAAAGGAAAAAGAATCTCAGACACTTCCAAATAGTCCACTTTGCTTAGATTATTGTATAAGCATAGAGGAGATGTGGGAGAGCCATTCTTCATTCAGCAAACATCAAGCACCAACTTGATTCCTTACTACCTTACTATTTTGTAACAGGCCTAGAATCTGAGTCACTAGTCAAGATCACTTAAGGTGATGGAAAAGGGTTTTTTTTTTTTAATTTATTTTTACTTTAGGTTATAAGTGTTTTGCATATATTTATGTGTACCAACGAGTACCTGGTGCCTTTGGAAGTCAGGAGTGAGGTTGTGAGATTCTCTGGAGCTGGAGTTACAGATGGTTGTGAGCCAACATGTGGATGCTGGGAACCAAACCCATGTCCTCTGCTAAAATAGCAAGTATTCTTAACTGCTGAGTCATCTCTCCAGTCTCTATTTGTTTGTGTGTATGTGTAGGCATGATGGGGTGGAGGAATGCATGTGGAAGTCAGAGGACAATTTTTGCAAGTCATTTCTCTCCTTCTACAGTGGGTTCTAGTGATTAAACTCAGGTTGTTAGGCTTGTAGGGCAAGCACTTTTATCAGCTTAGCCATCTCAGTGCCCAGTCACCTTATTTATTTATTTACTTATTTATTTCTTTAAAGGCAGGGTTTCCTATAGCTTAAGTTGGCCTCATACTATGTAGACAAAGATGACTTTGAATTAGTGATCTGCCTACCTGTACAACCAAAGTGCTTGGATTACTGATGCTTACCACCACTTCTTCCTCAGAATAGGGTTTTGACTGTAATCATTTTGACTCCAGGGCCATTTAACTAACTATTCTGCTATTGGGCCATGTGAGGGGTGGGAATATAGCTCAGTGGTAGAACACTTCCTTAGTATTTGTGGTGGTGGTGGGGAGGCTGAGTTGGATCTGCAACACTGCAAAGAAAGTTACTTAAAGAAAAGAAATCTTAGGCCAGGTGTAGTGGCCTTTAATCCCAGCACTGGGGAGGCAGAGGCAGGCAGATTTCTGTGAATTCAAGGCCAGCCTGGTCTACATAGTGAGTTTCAAGCCAGCTGGGGCTACAGAAAGACCCTGTCTCAAAAAGACAAAAAAAGGATAAAGAAAAAGATTAGAAAAAGATTAAGAACATGTTTACATTTATATAGTTAAGACAGACCAGGCAAAACTACACAACATATTGTTTAGAAATGCATGAACTTATTGCAAAACTTATAATGTCAAGCAAAAGAATGATTAATACAAAACTGAAGATAGCAGCTTCCTCTAGAAATAGAGAAAAGAAACAGATTAGGGAGGGGGGATCATAGAGGGTTTTCAAGGAATGGTGACATTCATTTTTTCTTCAATTAGTTTTTCTCTAAATTGTACATTTAAGGTGTATACATCTTATTTACTTGACATATATATGATTTCACACAGCTAAAACTATGAGGTTCAAAAGAGAAGTCTGGTTTACTGGAGAGAGACAAGGAATTAAAATGAATCAAATTTGAAAAAAAGAAGGCATTTCCTAATGAAAACTAAAATAAGCAGAGGCACGAAAACAAAATAAGCAGCAGGTGGGAAACTGGAGGTCATTTTTGCAGTAAGCTATGAGATTTCTATGAGAGTATTGATGGGGAATGAAGTTTCCGGAGAATGGAGATTCTTGGATGCTCTGGTGACGAATTTATATGCCTCACACTGCAAACAATGGGGACTTTGTACTAGTTTTCTCTGGTTTAGGCAACAAGAAGCAATGTGTGCTAACTCAAGTAAAAGGGAAGAGATCTGGTTTTTGTTTTTTTGTTTTTTAAGACTGGGAGATAAAGAGGAGGAAAGGGAGAGGAGGAAATGGAAGAGGGGGAGAAAGAGAAGAATGAATAATTTATTGGATAGGTTATGTAACCTAATGACCAGTCTAGAAACTCAGAAGATCTGGGGATCTCAGTGGGCTATGTGGCTAGACCACCTCTTCGAGCTCTCAGTTTCAACTACTTTCTATCCTAGCCTTGCCTCATCTGAGATGCCAGTAACCAAGGGAGTCTCCTTGGCCTACTTGTTTTCCCTTGTGCGATCTGGGGGGTGGGGGGGTGGGGGGGTCTGTGCTTGCTGTTCCGAAACACTGAAGACTATACAAATGTACAAGCGTAGTAGATTCCTTTGTAAACTACCTAATGGTAACTGAGTAAAACCTAAGAATTACCTAATTCACATAATTTCTCAGATTACGTATCTAAACACGTAAGAAGTTAGTTAAACGTAGGATATCCGTTGACATCATCGCCTCAATATCTTTCGTTTGGGATGACGTGAAGTTTGTCTTTGCAATTGCTTCCTCTCAGATATTTCCAAATTGTTACACATTGCCTCTGATAGGAAACTCAGTCATGCTATGCAGAAGACTCAGGTCAATTAGCAGAAAACAGTTATTAAAAACAAAAACCCCAAGGGGCTGGAGAGATGGCTCAGCGGTTAAGAACACTGGTTGTTCTTGCAGAAGATCTGGGTTCGAATCCCAGAACCCGCATGGCAGCTAACAACTGTCTGTAAATACAGTTCCAGGGTATCCGAGTGGTGCACTTACCTACATGCAGGCAATACACGCATACACATAAAATAAAATAATAAATAAAAACAAACAGCCGGTGTAGTGATGCACGCTTGTCACCCTAGCATTTGGGGGATGGAGGCAGAAGATCAGGTGTTCAAGGCGATCCTCAGCTGCATAACGAGCTGGAAGCCAGCCTGGGCTAGATGAGGCTGTCTCAAACACAAAGGCAAACAATGGCACTGCCAGATAGGCGCCCTGAGAAGTACTCGAGTCATTCCAAGCCGCAATTCTCCTTATTTGGGTTGATTACTGAAGCTCCCAACGCTAAATTCCCAGGAGCCAGGAAATCAGCAGAGCCTGGGGGGGAGCCCTGAGACCCACGCATGCGGAACTACACCTCTCGAGCTATAGCTCCGCGAGGAAGGGGGGCACGAAAGGCCATGCGGCACATGCGCACAAGAGTCCAGGTCAACAAAGACGGCGGTGTGCGCGCGCGCACCGGAGTCAGACGCGGTAGGACGTGCGCGTGCACGGCCACTGGGAGCTGCCAGGCGGCCGAGAGGACAGCCGCAAGGGAGGGGTAGGAGCCTGCGGCCTCTGGAGGAGAAGCAGGGGTTGTGCTGCAAAAGGGGAAGGAGAAAGGGGCGTGGCCGGTGAGCGGCCAGTGCAGGTGCCGCGCTCCGGGGCGCCGCGGACGCGCGACGGGGTCCGTGGCCATCGCCGACGCAGTGGCCGCCGCTGTCGCTTGGTCGCCGTCGGTCTGCGGGAGGCGGGTTATGGCGGCGGCGGCAGTGGGAGCTGTGAATGAGTTCTCCGGCCGGACGACGGAAGAAGAAAGGCTCCGGCGGCGCGAGCAGCCCGGCGCCCGCCAGGCCTCCGCCCCCCGCCGCCGTTCCCGCCCCTGCCGCCGGCCCGGCCCCTGCCCCTGGCTCGCCGCCTAAGCGGAACCTGTCCTTGTACCCGCTGGTCGCCGGCTTCGCCCTGCTGCGCCTGCTGGCCTTCCACCTGGGGCTCCTCTTCGTGTGGCTCTGCCAGCGCCTCTCCCGCGCCCTCATGGCCGCCAAGAGGAGCTCCGGGGCCGTGCCGCCGCAGGCCTCGCCCTCGTCCCCGGCTCCCGGCCCCGGCGGCGAGGCCGAGAGCGTCCGAGTGTTCCACAAGCAGGCCTTCGAGTACATTTCCGTCGCCCTGCGCATTGACGAGGAGGAGAAAGGTACTGGGGGGCTGGCGGGACGTGGCCGAGTGCTCGCCCCGGAGCGCGACACCTGCGTCCCTTTGCTGCGGGAGGGGCCAGTGGACCCCCCCAGACTTGATCTGCCCCGGGAGTCTGGGTCCCCACTGACCAGACCCTCATCTGCGACTCCTGCTTGATCCTTTTTCTTCTGGGCGCTCCAGCTACCTACTTTGTTTCAGGCACCAGCTTCCACCCATAGTTGTGCATTACCCAAGTCACTGTGAGACACGCATGTGTGGGTGACAGTGACAGTTGACCTAGAGTGACCACCTGGGATTCTTTCTAACACTGTAAACAGTGTGTAGCTTTCTCTGAGCTGGGCTTCCAAAGGGTTTTGATACCAAAGAAGCTGTGTATAGACTTAATGAAATCAGAGTTTTGTAGTGTCTGAAAAGAAAAAAGAACAATGACTATTTTGAAAGGGATAGTTGTATATAACTACAGCCAACTTTGGGTTATTTTGAAGTTTCATGAATTATTTTATCAATATTATGTCTTGAATTTTTTTCCTATGAAGTTGTATTTTAGGCGCTGGTTGCTTTAATTCTCACTAAATCTGTATTCCAAGGCAGTCTCTTAAGTTTCTGAATTGACTTAGGTAAGCACGCCTATCATTGTACCCCCACAATCTAAAACAAAGACTTCCGTTTTTCTCTGAAGGTACAGACCCTGTATTTTTCAGGTTTCTTTCAAGCAACATCTTTTAGTCTTTCTGTGTGTCAGGGATTGTGCTGTTCACTGGCTGTGTCCCTTAGTGTCAGCATTTTACAGAGGGAATTAAGGTTGAAGCAGGTGGCATCAAACCTAGGCTGATAGCTAACTTAAAACAGCTGTGGAAAATGCTTAAAACTTCTGTGGAAAATGGTAAGTGAAGTTAGAAAGTTCTAAGTCCTTTTTGAGACAGGTTCTGGCAGGCCTGGAACTCGCTATGTAGACCAGGCTAGCCTGGAATTCACAGAGATTCTCCTGTTTCTGCCTCATGAGTGCTTGATTAAAGGCCTACACTACCATACCAAGCTTAGACATTTTTTAAATTCCCTCTTTTTATTGTCATCTCCAGTATTATTCTTTTTTTTAAATTTTATTATTTTTATGTGTACGCGTGTATTGCCTGCATGTAGGTAAGTGCACCTGTGTCGTGCAATGCTGGCAGAAGACGGTGTCGGATCCCCTGGGACTGGAGTTACAGACAGTTGTTAGCTGCCATGTGGGTGCTGGGATTCGAACCCAGATCTTCTGCAAGAACAACCAAGTGTTCTTAACCGCTGAGACATCTCTCCAGCCCTGACCTCCAGTATTCTTCAAAGAACCTCACTTTCTACCGTGCCTCATGTAGGTACTCATCAGAATTGTCTGCTAGAGAAAATGAGCAGTTTATAGTTCTTTTTTAGTATCTGTCCACTTGCAACACTAGAAACCATTCTAGAATTTGTCTTGTTGAAACTTATTTCCCTTGTGAAAGGGCCTGGGAGTAAAAAAAGAAGATATAGTGAAAGTGGCGGATAATCATGATTTTGGAGTTCAAGGACAGAGTGGAGATTGCGTTCAAGACAGTAAACTTTTTTTTTTTGGTCTTTTTGAGACAGGGTCTCCCTGTACCCTCAGCTGGCCTGGAACTCACTGTGTAGACCAGGCTGGCCTTGAACTCACAGAGATCCACTTGCCTCTGCCTCCCAAGTGACAGGATTAAAGGTGTGCGCCACCACGCCTGGCCCAAGTTATATTCATTTTTGAAAAATGAAATGAAGCTGGGAGTAGTGGTACAAGCCTTTAATCTCAGCACTTGGGAAATTGACACAGGAGGATTGCTATGAGTTCAAGGCTAGACTAGGCTGCACAGCAAGACCTTATTTCAGAAAATAAAAAAGTAAAGTTTGAGTCGATACTGCAATAGTTCTCTTGTATCCGAATTTTTTCCTAAACACAATGAAAACTTTTTGCAGTTTAACTTTAATTCAGTAGTTAAAAAAGAGTTCACATTTGAAGTCAGCCTTTCAGCTATACTTGACAACACAAAACTTATTTCCAAGAGAATTTAATCCTCTTTTTCCACTGCATAAAAATATGTGTGAACAGATAGAATGGATATGTAGTCTTTAAAGACTTATGACTCTTGTAAGCTGTTGAAAGGGTAGCAGTATCTTGTATTACTATCTCTTAGAAACTTGACAGCTTTTTGGGGGGGGGTTCTTTTTGAGACAGGTTCTCCCTGTAGCCCCAGCTGGCCTGGAACTTGCTAGTAGACCAGGCTGGCTTTGAACTCACAGAGATCCCCCTGCCTCTGCCTCCCCAGTGCTGGGACTAAAGGTGTGTGCTATCACACCCAGCTTGACTTAGCTTCTAAATGTTATAATGAAAACCTCCCTATTTCATGAGCTCAAGTAGACTGCATTGGTGCTAATTAATTGCAGCATTTGTATTTTGAATGGTAAATATCAAATTAAATCTCATTTAATAAAGTTACATATAAATGTGGTTTATATAGTGACTTATTTATTTATTATTTTTAGTTTTTGAGACAGTCTCTCTATAGCCCCAGCTGGCCTGAAACTCATTATGTAGACCAGGCTGACCTCAATCTCACAAAGATCTCATAAAGATCCACCTGCCTCTGTCTCTTGAGTGCTGGGATTAAAGGCATGTGCCACCACACCTGGCTTTAGTGACTATTTAAAAGAAAAATATTTATTTTATTTAGTGTGTATGAGTGTTTTGCCTGCATGTATGTAACTGCAATGCCTGCAATGCTTGCAGAGGCCAGAAGCGGAACCCTGGAAGTCTGGAGTTCCAGACAGTTGTTAGCTGCCATGTAGGTCCTGGGAGTGGAACCTGGGTTCTCTGTAAGAGCAGCCAGTGCTCTTAGCCACTGAGCCATCTCTTCAGCCCTGTAGTGACTATTGACTGTTTTTATCTGGTGAGACTTGAACTAGGATTTCACTGTGAAAACTAGGCTAGACTAAAACTGGTAACCCTCTGCTCCTCTAGTGCTGGTGTTACAGCCATGTGCTGCCACACTCAACTTTTACTTTTTTTTTTTTTTTTGTCTTTTTGAGACAGGGTCTCCCTGTAGCCCCAGCTGTCCTGGAACTCACTATGTAGACCAGGCTGGCCTTGAACTCACAGAGATCTGCCTGCCTCTGCCTCCCAAGTGCTGGGACTGCAGGTGAGTGCCACCATGTCCAGCCTGAAACGTTTTTATAAAGGTCTTAGCTTGCCTGAAATGAATCTATTTTGAAAGAGGCACAGCACAGCAAATACTTCTTGCCTAACACAATGATTTGAGAGGTACATTAACACAAGTATTAGATACTTGATTTCAGCTAATTTGAACAACTTGGCATTCCAAGAAATGTGAGAACACTTACTTCCTCTCTCCAATCTGATGTGAGGCATTTCCTCTTTTTTTTTTTTTTTTTTTTTTGAGAAAGGGCCTCCCTGTACCCCAGCTTTCCTGG